CAATGGCCGAACATTCACATTTTTCTATTTATTTTGGTAATTGGGAATCAATTTTAATAATGATCCATCAGGAATTTGCCAAGAAAGCATTCTAAAAAGGAATATTATATAGATGAATATATGAGGTGTTATTGAGGTCACAAAGAATCAAGTGCATGTAAATTGAATCAATAATCGTCTATATGATAAGAAATCATCTCGTTGCTAGAATGAACTTTTTGTTTCAATAATCAACAATCGAGTAGAAGAGTTTCAAAATTCTTTAGCAAAAAAAAAAAAACTGTTTCCATGGAAATATTATAATATAGTTATCCTGATTCGAGGAACTATTTATAGTTTCAATCAGTATCTCCTTATTCTGAAAAGGAATATTATTTTTATGTTAAAGTTCAGTTTTTTTTTACACCCTGTATGAAGAATATCAGTTCATCGTATAACTGACAAAAGTATCTTCTTGTTTGTTGTGCAGTAACTGGACATTGATTTAAATGTTGAAACAAACAGTCCTCATACTTGAAAGAAACATTTCTTACAGACATTTTACATGAATGATTGAAAACGAGTAATTACAGCATCATCAATGAAATCAGATCACACTGCAATAAAATCTTGAATAATTAAAAGATAATGCACTTTGTGAAAATACTAAAGTGATGTTATAATCATAGACAAATCTTTGTTCCTCAATTATAATTTTGAGTAGATACCAAAGTGAGTTTTCAGAAGAATGGTGGAAATTTTCAAAAAAAAAGGGTATGGAGGTAACGATATATGATATATAATTATGTGAATAAGTACTTTGTATCCAAAACTCACGTAAGTATGTTTTGAACGATATAAGTGAGTAGGAAAATATGTCAATTGGCTATACAAATGCAGATTTGATAATAATTGAAAATGGGTATGTATTTCAATTTGTTTTTGAAATCGCATAATCACATGAAATACTAGACGACAACATGCTATTGCAATGTAGTTAACAGAAGCCAAAATATAGCACTCTCTGAGGAAATTAAAGAAAAAAACTATATGGCTCAAAATTTAACTAGTAAATAAATGTGAATCCAGCAAAACCCATCATAATCTTTGAAGACAAAATTGGATGAAATAGAATATGTCGCATTATAAAAAGTCAGGGCATATCAAAAGAATAAGATATCACTGAAATATCTGATCTAAAAAAAAAGGTGACCAGTTATTTTTTTTAAGGCGGGAACTGCTTTGAAGTTAATGAAGATAAAGCATATAATTTATGAAATTGTCATATATACTATATGTATTATATTCTATTGTTATATCATATCTATGAATGTATAGATAATTATTTTTCTTACTATTCTCCACTTTTTGAGGGGAAGTGTTGGATTTCAATAGAAATATCCAAAAAGTGAATTAAAGAAGTGACGCCACTGTTTGGTGTTTATGAATATGAATTCTGTTTTGGTTCCGTATGCTAAACTGTCGGATGCTCACTCTTCAGATATCTATCAATAAAGCAAGTAGTTCAAACCGTCTGACGTTGTTTTCATTAAGTACCTACCAAAATGTCCCAATAACAATAATACAATCTTCGTCTTACAGTACAATCACTGCTGTATTTTTTAGATAATTGCATTACTCTTGAGACATTTCATACAGGGTGTTGACAAATAAGTGTCACAACGGCAAAACTGTAGATTCCTCATAAAAAAGAAAAAATTTCCCTATCGAAATTTTTCTCCGGGCTTCCGTTTTCAACCGTCAAAAAGCGTAAAAAAATACAAAAATATCAGTTTTTTGCTGCTATCTCAGGAACCGTTTGAGCTACGGAGTGAAGCCTTCGTACACACTTCATCATCAATAATGACTACTTTCAGGGTTCTTGATCAATTTCCTTGGACATGTCAGTGGAGGAGAATTCAACGCCTCGTTAGGGTTTAACCCCCCAAACATTTATGCCACTGGAGAAATTGTAATTTTCAAAGTAGATTCTGAAGCGCCAATATCTTTCACACAAAAAACGTCGAAAAATGGTTCTTTATGGATAAGAACATACAAAATCCTGATGGTATCTCAAAAAATCGTCTAAAAATTCAATGGAAATAAACACCTCGGAACTGTCTAATAATATGTTCAATCAAATGTCAGGTTCTTGAGTATGCTGGTCTCGATGCTGGCTTTCAAATTGTTAAGTTTATTAAGTGTTGTAAAGTGTGTTTGATTAAACTGAACATTTTCGATTTTTTGACGCCCTGTATCTTGAAAACGGAAGCCCGGAGAAAAATTTTGAAGAGGACAGAAATGTTTTTTTTTTCTGTGACGGGAAAAAACTTTGGCATTTCATCTCTGTTGGCAGGTTATAAAATGTCACTTTTCATAAATTACATTTTTCCCGTGGGAAAAAAGTGAGTACTTTTTTCCCGGATATATATCACATATATATACTCTGTTAATGGCTCTTGTTGTGCTATAGTTCCGAAAAATGAGTCAATAATACCGTCTCCGAGAAAGATTGCAGTTCCTTTTATCTTCCATTCGACTTCGCGGTTTCGTATATTACTAAACAACTACTGAATTCGCTATTTTTTAAAATCAAATCACAGAATTGAACTGACAGAAGTGATATCAGATATTTGATTACTTCAAAAGAATGATAAAGATGCCTATACAACGCAGGTGTCCCTACTGTTAAAAACTTGAAATTTCACGTCGATAATTTTCAGATTTCGAAATAATGTGATATCTTCTCAATATTGATTCGTCCTTCCTTCTGTCACAGAAAAAAATAGTGTATTATACACTCCGTGAGCTAAAATCTACTACTTTTTTCCCTTGTATAATAAATAACTATTGTTATGAGGAATCTACAGTTTTCCGTTGTGACACTTATTTGTTAACACCCTGTATATGAGTGACATTTTTTTATAATAGTTTCATTGATACACTGGAGGAAGGTATTGGAAGATAGGCTATTTTATTACTGTATTAATGAGTGGAAAGAGTCACATTCAATGACACTATATATACTTCCTGAACATGAAATTGTCAATATCATAAGGAAAAAGATATTCGCCATCGCAAGAATCGTTTTAATTGGTCTAAAAATGATTTCACACCGAGAGAATTGGTTGTTTGTCAGGGAACATGAATGTTTCAGAGTATGGGTGATCAAGAAACGATTTTTTTTTTCATTTGGTTGTAAATATACTTCAATGTAATAAATGACTCAATAGATAAACACAATCAGCAATCATATGTATGTTAATTTATCACAACATCCAAGAAATTTCAAATAAATTATATTATTGTCTATGTGAATTTCGAATGTAATTTCAAATTTGTGTTTGCCTCTTTTCTAAGGCTCAATTTACCAAACAAAATTCGAGCCAACTCTCAGATGCATGGTATGAGAGAGTTAACAATTGGAATTGCCAAAACGGCAAAACCAAAGGTCTCTCTCAACCATAATCTTCCACAGGTGTAACGCTAGGTAATTCAATGACAAAAATTACCCTGCTGACTCCATGTGGAAATTTCGAGATTTATTCCCCATACCTTGAATTTCAATTGTATCAGGCTGTTTTTGAGAAAAAAATCTGCAGGTAACCAAGTACATAGAAACCACTTGTCAAAGCTTAAAATTTCAATAAACCCTATTCTGAACTATCAGTATGAAGGTGAAAAAATTATGTTTTCAGTAATTGCTCTGTATCTCAAGAAATTTGTATATCAAGTATTTGGAGAAATGCTTGTAGGATTTATTTTCTTGATTTTTCCACAATATCAAAGCATCAATAACAATATCGATCATTATTATTTCATTTTTTCAATCATAAAAAAATTATGAAGTAACCTCAACTTTCTTATGTCAAATTAAACCCTGTATCCATCACAAGGTAGCATTAGTTTTTTAAATAGGTTATATTGTGAATTGAAAAACGTCTCAGGTTGGGATGATTCAAATCCAATAATTTTATATGTATCCAAGAAAAGTAGCATCTTAGAAGTCAGCCAAATTCAAAATCACCTTTCACAATATTCTCAATTGTATTTGAAAACTTGAAATAATATATCGAACTCCAGCATGGATTCAAATGGTTTGACATTAAATTGAAAAAAAAAACGGTTTATTAACACTTTGACTGCCATGTCAGTCGATTTTCCAGCTGAGGCCGCGGTCATTGTTTGTGGGCGCGCTTTTTTCAATGCTAATGGTACAGAAAAACGTCGAATCATGCATACTCAGTATTTATTTTACGGTGCTCACGTCAGGTTCATGTTTATTCCTGTTTCCAAAAACGACTGACACGGCGTGGCACTACACATTATTTTTCAGTTACCATTTCTACACATCGGTTGCTTATATTGAAGGAAAGTGTGGCATTGTCATTGACAAGTCTGACCAAAGAGCTTCATATAGTACTCGTAATCGATCGACGAGGCATCAAATGGTACGGAAACGTTTTTTTTTCAATTGCTGACAGGCATGTCTATGGTGAATGCATTCAACATATATAAAGAACAAACCCTTTCAAAATCGAATATCAATAAATTTAAAGAAGACTTAGCCAGAAGTTTATCATTTGGGAATGATGCCAACAGAATGATTCTAATGATACCCAAAGTAGCACTATTGAAAATCGTAGTTCATAAGTTACTTACTTTTTACAATGTAAGAGATTTCAAATAAACAGTTCAACATAATTTCCGATTTTATTGTTATATTTTTACGTAAGGGATGTCAGGCGCCGAAAAATGTTGTAGGCTTAAGAAATTCAGCGCTGCGATTCCAATGAGCATACTAAATTCTATATAAAGTCGGTCCAAAAAGCCTGACACGGCCGTGAATCGTAGTAGTGGTGTCAGTTATAAACGACTGATGACGCAAAATTATGCATAACAGTCATATACGACTGACACGAAATAAACTAACAAAAAATTCATATGCTGGCAGTCAGAGTGTTAACTTTGATTCAGAAATAATGACAAAATAAGGAAAATCAATGTTGATAGAAACTCACCTTGAGAAGATTTGGATCTTCGCCCCATGAACAAAACAGTTTGAAGAGAGCAAAAGATGCAACGTGTTGCCATGGCAGAGGAGACTGGGAGGTGTCATCTTCGGATACGTCCATGTTCTCGTTGCCTTCTTCGTCCTTCTTCATTTCGGTCAATCTGTTGGTTTTGACGTAGTTTTTGAGAGCCGCCTCGGCTGCCGAATTCTTGGCGTGAATTTTACTGCGACCTGAAGTATGATCAGGATGATGAGTTTTCATGCATACCATATGGATAGAATGCGTCAAAAGTTCATTGTTCTGCAAGAACTCTAAAAAGTTGCTGGTCAACTTCCATTTACTTCTCACAGGAATAAATCTACATATTTGATTATTTACTTTACCCTATATACTATTACATGTCATTAATTTTTGAAGGAACTATTTCTTCACAAAATTGACAGATGCTCCATTTGAAAAAATGCTCTCCAGCATTTTCGATGTTTTGGAGTATTGTGGATTTCATTTAATCACATCAGTTACAAAGGGAGAAGAAGGTAAATAAAAAAGGCCGAATAAATTTAGATTATTATTTTCAAGTACTTCAACAGGATTTCTATAAATGAGCATAGGATCATAGTGGTCGTTGAACTAAATTATCGTGTGATGTGATTTCAAATGGTTTTTCGAAATCGTGTATGCCTCTTTTCTAAGGCTCAATTTACTGAACAAAATTCGAGCCAACTCTCAGATGCACGGTATGAGAGAGTTAACAATTGAAATTGCCAAAACGGTAAAACCAAAGGTCTCTCTCAACCTTAATCTTCCACAGGTGTAACGCTAGGTAATTCAATGACAAAAATTACCCTGCTGACTCCATGTGGGAATGGAAAAAAATCTGAAAACTTATTGGTATTGCCCATAGCTGCTGACCAGAAGGTAATAAACGTTTCGTTTCGGGTAGTAAAATAGAAGTGTGAATGTTTCTTATCTCTTAACTGAATCAATTTGAATCCATGAACAGAATTAGCTAGATATATCCAGTAATACAGTGACAGCCAAAAAATATGCAACTTAGGGACACTTTGAGAATGGTTGATAATTGAATTATCTACCTTCAACATAGGGAGAGGTCAAAGACATTAATTGAATACTTTTGAATCAGATTTTGTATTGAATTATTGCTTCCGAAATAAATGTACAAGAACTAGAAAAAAATAATCAAAAGAAGTAAATCTCAGGATGATTGGGTCAGCAAAAGCAGTGTCGGCCCGCTCACCAGCTGTCATCAGCAGCTCTTGGTCTACTGACAACTGGGACAACGCAATGCTCTGTAATGCAACTTGACAACTCAAGGCACTGTAATGCAGCTTGACAACTCAAGGCACTGTAATGCAGCTTGACAACTCAAGGCACTGTAAGTCAGCTTTTTGTGACCTCGGTCGGGCCTTCAACTGTGTCAATCATACACAATTGCTAAACAAATTATATCACAGCGTCACATCAATGGTTTCAATCGTATTTGGAAGCTTGAAACCCAAATGTAAGAAACAAACTATGTTGAAAAGGAATATTCTCAGATAAATTATAAACATACAAAAATGGATATATATTTATATAAAGCAATACATTGAGAATTCGCATTCTCTATGTGATGAGAATATTTTCAGTTTGTTCAATAGAAAACAACAATTTTTCTGGCTATATGCCACGACGAACATTGATTTATATCTATTGAACACACAGGATAAGATTTTGAAAATAAAATATAAAATCTTCTGAAATTGAGAATTTGCATTCTCCTTCAGACAAAAATATGTATATGCACATATCATTCTGAATATTCAATAACAAACAACTAGTTTCCTGGCATTCGTTCAAATGAGTAAAATGATGTACAATTTTTTTTAAATTCCAAGAATGAAAAAAAACTGAAGACAAACTTAATAATGACAAGAAGGCTGGGTAGTTCTGGTAACTTAGGTTATTCAAGATCTATGTTCAAATTGAAGAAAAGAAGAGGAGATATACAGCTAAAAAAAGATGAGAATACACTGGTATTTAGTGACGTTTGATGCAGTAGACATTTGACATAATTATCAATAATTTTATATTATTTTTTCGATGAATGGAAGGGTTTTTAATCAATTATTATTCACAGGTGGAAAGTATTCACCAAGTAGGCAGAAAACCAGAATCATTTGTATTTTCATGGTATTTCCTTCCATTCGGATTTTTTATGAAATTCAGATCTCCTCTGCGAAATGATCCAGAACCAGCTCTTGTTCCAAAGAAAAAAAAAATTATTCCAAAAATGTTTTCCATTATTTTTAGTTTCCCTTGAATTGTAACTATTTTGAAAAAGTTGGAAAAATTCCCGCCAAAGTTGTACAATTTGACAACTGACATTAGTACAAGTGGAATTTTCCTAGGAACAACACTGAACCAACTATGAAGAAAATAATAAAATACTCACCATAACCACAATACTCTGTTCCTTCATAAACGACCGTGGCTTTGAACTGGTTGCCGTCTGGCCTCATCGGCAAATCCTCGACCATGTAAGAGGTATTCTTCACCAATTCGTTCAGAATCATAACGGCGTTCTTGGGTTGCAAAATCTTGCTCAATCTCACGTTGCGCCTTCGGTTCTTCTCCTTTTTGGTGATCTTACCTGCTGTAAGATGCAAGGGATAGGGCTCATTCAATAATGAAGATGTATTGAATCGTATTGAATGTGTTTCAGACCACTGTCATATCATTCATAAACAATATCAATCTCAACAAAACTTCGGTCTTGGAGTTATGTAATGTTTACATCAAATTTGCGCAGTGATATGTCATCACTTTTACCTACCATAAAAAGTTATTCATGTACCAAAGACAATACAAAGTCTATTATAGTTGAGACAATAGACAGTTTTTCGCCGAGGAGCATATTACATTTTTTCGTCGACCTCAAACACTTATTTATATTCACACAATCACACGTGAAATCTATCGGATTTCGGAAATAATTAATTTGACAAAAGCAAATGACAGTTGTTGTCAACTCACTCTCCGCGCGGAACAGGGTTGCCAGTTCGATTATGATTTCATCAGTAAACACCTTGTCAAAAATTCAGCAGATTTCGATAGACCTGTTCAAGATCTATTTAATGCTATACGAATTTTGAGAAAGGATAATGGAATAATAAACCTATGACGTCAAAAATTTTGTACTTTCAGTAAACAGAAAAGTAACCTATTTTTAACAAAATAGAAAGAAACAAATCAAAGATTCTCATACAAAAATAATCCGATTCATAATTCTCAATTCAAAAATAATACTCACAAATATCACAACATACAGTTACATAGGTATTTATAAGATTTGAGTATATAAAAAACAGGAACATATAGAAAAAATGAACAACAAGAATACAAAAAAAAAATAAAAAAAAACTATTAGATAGATGTGATCTGAATCAGATAAAGTGTCATTTTTTGGTCTATACATATTATTAGTACATATAAGTACATTTTATTACTTATTTTGTTAAATTAATTTAAACAGAGCAAGCCGAAAAATAGAGATAGATAGATACAATGGTATGAAACAAAACAAACATAATAGACCTACATTGACATTGAACAAGCCTTATCTGAAATAATCAATGAACTCTTCAATACTATATGGGACTATCGTCAATATCACAGATTTAATCTTCATTTTGAATTGTTACAATTTGTACTCTTCAGGTAATATATTATATAGCCTAAGACCGATGGTTTGGTAAGATTTTTGACAAAATGACAAACGATTTTTGGGCATGTGGAGATGATAATGAAAATTATAAGTGTATGTGATTAACTAAAGATTAATATTAGTATCGGTAATTAAAATAAAAAATAAGTGTCAAAATATTTTTCAGTATATTATGAAATGTTTCAGTAGACCAATATGCAAATCAGGAGAGCTACTGATAATTGAGTAGAACTGGCAACCCTGCAGCGGACGAAAAGTGTTTGCGGACAAAAAGTAGTTGCCTTCGGATATAGTCGATTTTTCGTTCGGAAATTAGAACGTAAAATGTGATTTATTGTAGAGGTCGGCGAAAAACACTAAAAATTAAAAGTAAAATTTGGTTGTAGCAAAATTGCTCATCACTCAAACTTACAAAAGTCAGCAAGCTGTAACTCCACCGAGTTTCATCCAATATAACAAAATGTTACTCAAATATCAGCTACACTTGTGACATATTTTTGAATTCAAGAACAAATGCTGCTAAGCAGAAGTTGGTTTTCATTTGGCACTAATTTTGTTTTATGATTCTTGAAATTGGAACAGCAAAGACATGCTTCCAGAAAAAAATAAATGAGAACATCAACAACCCACCAATTCACTGAATACTAAAATTTCAATATCTAGTCATTTTACTATTAACAGTTACAGCTTCAACCTACTTCAATTATTATTCGCAACTTTTTAGGTAGATCTCAATATAATTTTCGAAAAATTGATATATCTGGAATGATGATACATTCTCTTACCTGTACCTCTCGCCCAGAATGGCTTCTTTTTTTCAACAGATGTGTCCATAACATCCCCATTGCTATTGTCCACAATTGCCTCTGGCTTGTTAAGAGTTTGTGATGCTTCCATTTTGATCTGCTGTTGTTGTTGCTGTAGTTGCTGCTGTTGTTGCTGCTGGAGCTGTTGCTGCTGGAGCTGTTGCTGTTGGAGCTGTTGCTGCTGAAGCTGTTGTTGTTGGAGCTGTTGTTGTTTCAGCTGCTGCTGTTTCTGTTGCAGTTGTTGTTGCACTACAGGTTGTGGCTTGGCTTGTTGAGGAACAGCAGTTGCTTGCTGCAACATCATTAATTGTATTGTTTCTTTTGATTCAAGGCTAGTCATCCATGACACGATGTAAATAAGTCATAATCAAAATAGAAAAGTGCCAAATCCATCATGGCACTTTCAATTCAATATTTATCTAGTGTTAGATCTGACAGTACAGTTTCAACTATATATTGATGAAACCTTCTCTTTAGGTCTAATTGATATACCACAGGTTGTAAAACTTTAGCCCATGTGTGAACAAAAGTACTGCTCCATGTGGTAAACAATGTTTAACATTAGGTATTTTTATACAACATATTTTGGCGCAAAATAACCTAACAACTGTCATGTAACTTCAACATTAGTTGTAAAATAAAATTTTCGGTGGAATTCTGGAGAAATTTCCAATTTAGGAGGCAATTTCAATTATTGTGTTATGTTATGTGAAGTAGATTCAATTTCAACCATTGCATAGTACCTTCAATGTTCTGAAAATGCAACTTCCACTCTCACATTAATAAAATTAAGAGTACTATCAATACCTATGCATATCATATCAGGTAAATATATCCGGGAAGAGAGAATCTTACTTTTCCCAGGTAAAACAGTTGTTTTTTGCTGCCAATTAACTTCGGAAATATGAACTTTTTTCTCATCACCCCTCAGGGTTGCGGGTCTCACAAACTCACTAAATCTACCGATCGCAGAAAAAAGTACTTTTTCATCCTAGAATTTCAATGAGACCTTAACATTCAACATCTCAAGCTTCAACGTCAGATTTTGGTATAAAACTCTCAAGATGGCTGGAGAAAAAAAATTAAAACTTATTGAATTAATAAAATATTCCGAAAAATATCTTCCAATATCACTAATCAACTGTTTTATTGGTTATAACAAAATTCAAATAAACATGATACATTCACACAGGTTGTGATAAAAACCATGCCATCCAGCTTACATAAAATATTCTATTTTAAGGAATATTTGAAAAAATGATGTACCGAAGGAGGGACTTCATAGACGCAATGCATAGAAATACTCAAAATAATATTTTTCGAAGCAACTTCCACAGTCCTTTGAAAATTAATAGAATGTAATCTTAAACGATTCAGTGTTCTAACTTCGCTCATATGGACTACTGATAGTAAATACAGAAACACGGTGGCAACTCTTGTGAAGGATAAAAAATATTCACATCCTTCACTAAGGTGGGAGTAATAACGCATGCCACTGCAATTACAATTTCAAAATTCGAACTACATCTTATAACATCTATCAAGAAAATTTCGATTTGTGTTGTGTTAAACTAGTTCAGTATGCAAAAATGAGCAACAGAAAATATTTGAAACAATTTTTGAAAGCTGGAGTTTCCAAAAAGTCGGTGTCCTTTCGAAAGGACAGTAGGCAAATGAGTGACATTTCCTTGAATAAACGTTTCTATTTCATCAATATTCTAAATATAATACAAGATAACATTAAAACCATTCTGAACATAAAATCGAATGAAGAATATGATTCAGCTAATCGAATAGGGCTTGAAACAGGTAACTTAGGGAGAAACGTTGCACTTTTAGCATTTGGTGAAAACGTTTTTATGAGAATATCGGCACCTAATTTTCTCCTCCTGCGTTACCATCAAATGATCATAACGGAAATCTGCGTTTTCTAATGGAGATAGTTTTGAACGTTTGGAACATTTTCTCTGGTTGCCTTCCAGAATTGGAATAGCTTATCTTTATCGAAAAGATCAATGATCAAGAGAACCGCTCTGTATCCTATGTAATTGCAATGCATTGGTTTTCACACATATCAAGCATGTGAAATATAAGAGGCATGTACCATTTCTCACCACGTATCGCAACTTATTCTTTGGTCGGCTGGATAAACGCCTCCTTGTTTCGGTTGTATAAAAAAATATTATGAGGTTGCTAAGCCGTACTCTCTCTCCACTGTATCTTCATCGCTCAAATACTAATCTGTAACTGGTTCACAATAACTGAGATGAGACATAATTCCAAAGATATTTCAAATTGTTGCGTTATCTTCTAAAAATTGTATAAAAAGTGAAACCACTGAAAAAAGTTTCATACATAGCTACTGTCCTTCTCAAAGAACATTTGAAAATGTGAGATTCTGAGATGCAGTTTCAAAACACACAATGGATTGACATTTTTTTAGCAACAAAAATGATTACGAGAGATTATCATTTCAACACAAAATATATGGAATGTTCTTTCATTTGATGAGTGGCGAGATGAGTAGTGCTAGAATCACTATATGGTATTAGTTGATGAGTTCGGACACAGCTGAACTTCTGTCCTTTTCTATATCCTATATTACAACGGTTTGAGTGAATAAAAGAATGAGACATATATTCTGTTCTTTGTATTTTAAATATCCCTAATGGCACCTGATTATCAGATACGATTTTAGAGGTTAGATATTTTGTCAAATCAATCACAGCCGTAGATGGAAAATAGAAATAAAGTAAACACCGATTTCAATTCATAGCGATACGACACAGCAAATACCGCCCCTCCGTCACGACCCCAGATGAGTATATTATTGTATCTCATCCCTAGAGCGTACAATTTCACTGTACTCTATATGAAACGTCAATGATTGAATGAGTTAGATTCTGAATTGGTGACACCAAATAATTTGGAAGCTTAGTCTCCCCTAAATAAGAGTATAAAAATGAAATATGTTCAGCTGTATCGTCTTCCATACAACAGAACCAACAGCCTGTTGGTTCAGGTGACCTCTACCTACTAGAAAACAGGGTCCTGTAAGCAATTCTGTTAGAACTTGTAATTTATTCCTACTATTTTCTAGGATCAGCTTCGCGTTATATAGGGTGTCCCAAAATTGCTGGGATACAGAGCTACCACGTGTAATACAGTTTAAAATAAGTTGATTGGATCAAAATTATTTATGTAAGAAAATGTACCGTTTGTCCGTAAGACGATTTCAAAGTTTACATAAAACAACATATTTTTGTGCACTGTTCAAAAATGAGTGAAACAAATTTGATAAAATTCGACATGCATTTCAGAGGATAACCCTTTTTTCAGTTATCAAAGAAACCTGTAGAAGGGTTGAAACCACTCTTACCCCTCTCCCCCGCTATTTTTTTTCAAACATTTTTAGGGGTGGTAATGAGGTTTTCAATTTTTTTAAGCGAGAGATGACTGTTTAATCATCTTTTATATTTTCATTAGGGTGATAAAATGAAGATAATTAATCAGTAATCTAGCTCAAAAAATTTGAGAACCGTATTACCACCCCTAAGAATGTTAGGTAAAAAATGTCAGGGGATGAGGGTGGTTTCAACCCTTCTACAATTTCTTCCGGGTTTTTTTGATTAGTTTTGTCAAATTTCATCTCACTCATTTTTGAACAGTGTACAAAAATGTGTTTTTCTATGTAAACTTTGAACTCGTCTCACGGACAAACGGTACACTTTGTTATATAAATAAATTGGGTCCAATTAACTTATTTTGACTTGAATACACGTAGTAGCTCTGTGTCCCATCAATTTTGTGACACCCTGTATATTTCCCTCTTCGTTTTATGTTGAAATTTTTCGACACCTTGTTAATATATGTGATTAGCAGTCCATTTGAGCGAAGCGATATCCTGAATGGTCTGAGAATGTAATGAACCGGTCAAAACAAAAAAAAATATATAAAAAAACCCACCTGCTGATTCCTGAATTGAATGCCAGTATTCTGTGCCTGTTGCGGCTGTGCAGGCCTAACCTGTTGCGGCTGCGTGGCCTGCTGCTGTACTCCTGGCTTGCTCTGGGCGTTCAGCTATGTGAGAGCAGGTTTTATTTAGGAGGAAAACCTCTGGAGGTTCGAAACACCGATATAGGTGCATCTTTAACCGAGATGCAAGGAACATCATGCGGTTAGAGATATCTACATTTTATATATCTTGACTCTAATTTGGTCCGTATAAATTCCAGTAAGAGTCGCAAATCGACGACACCGAACATCGTGAGAACTGGAAGGCCGAGGAATGTCCCACAACATTAATAATTTCATTAGGTGTAAACCGTAACTTACACCTGATGAAGATATTACTGCGGCAAGGCATTTCAGAGACACCCAGCTGTATTGAATTTTATTGAAGAGTCCTTCTCGTTGGTATCGTCAACTTCCAACAAAAACTGTATTTAAAAGAAAGTTGTTTTCCAATTGTCTCTTTTTTTCATTGCTGAATCACTCGATCATGAAAAAAATCACACAAATGAAAAACAAATGAAAATAAACACAAAAATAATAGTCAAGATACAACATAACCGTTTGCTTGGTACAGTTTACGAGTAGCTAACATCTTAGTGCCAAAAACAAGATATCTGCACATATTATTTGCACGTGTGCAACAATATGGGCTAATGTTTTCAGTGGCCTCAATGTCTCTCATAATCAGTACTCAGCAAACATTATAAAAGTCGGGTGCCTATATGAGTGCTAGTACCATGGCTCTGTATAGCATAGCCCGATGATAGGACCTAGACAGCCACAAAAAATACTACCTGTTAGATCATTTATCATAAATTTCAAGTTCACTGAAGCAGTAAGAACAACATGGATATGAAATTTTGAAAGAATTGTGAATTGTCGTTCTTAGGAAATATGCGTAAGATGGGGGAAATGGTGCACAGTAGGTTTTATTCACGAGAATATTATTTCATGCTTATTCACTGGGCAACTAGATATTTATCAAGTGTTAGACCTGACAGTACAGATTCAAATATTATGTATTGATGAACCCTTCTCTTTAGGTCTGGTTGATATACCACAGGTTGTAAAACTTTAGCCCATTTGTGTGAACAAAAGTACTGCTCCATGAGGTAATAGTATTTTAAGCACATGCAACTATCATGTAATGATATTTTACAGCAGCACGAGGTAAGTTATGAGTAGATTAATAGCAAATACATTTTTTCTACCACCAATAAATAATGATATAGAAACAAAAAATAATTTCAAACTACTTATATTTCAACATATTCCATCATCTCCAGTCCATCATTTTTTTAGTCTCACCAGTAGGCGCTGCTGAAACGTGAGGTCCATGTCAACGTCAAAAATCACAAAATTTATGATGGATAGTCTCAAAGGCTGTGGCCTGTTTTATCGAAAATATTCGGAAAAAATTATCTGGAATATTTTCACAAATAGAAAACCTCAAGTTATGGAAAGACGTAAGCAGACTTTAGTTTTTCTAGTTTCTATATGGAATTTTTCCACCAATTCTTACATTGACTGAGAAGAAGATATCATAGGAAAAGGCCAAATTACAGGAAAATAAAAATATACTTATCAGTTCTACCACGTTCACCAACTCAGACCTCACGTATCAGTGGCGCAATTTGGTGGGCAATAAATAATGTCAGCCCACATTACCTGTTACTTTGTTGTGTTGAAATTGTCATGTATTGAAATTAAATGTCAAACAACTGAAACAGATATGCAGAAACACTTCATTATTCCTAATAACGTGTTCCTATAGGCCAAAAATTCGTTTCATAATGAAAAGTATGTAATGGCCAAAATCTGTTTCAAAATGAAAGTCCCTGTCAAAATGAAAAATATTGATATGAATAATCTGTTGCAGATATACAATTAGCATACCCTGAGGTTCTCAATATTTTATACTCCCCCACAACTTCCAAGTTCCAGTCGAGGTTTCAGTGGATTTAAACTCAACTTTGGAATGTACATTTTTTATGTCCTTATGGGGTATCTCACTTATTTTCAAATATATAGAGATTTGCCGTTTAGCGAACGTTGTCGACTTTTTTGTGAAACTCGCGATACCGCAAACAAAATTTTCAGAGCCCTCTTCGTTTTTGAAATCGCGGCAAAATAGAAAATGTTGCATTTTGGGAACCCCCCTGTATAACACCTATCTTTCAACTTATAATTAAAATAGAAACTGTCACTTATACAATTTTTCACGTGAAATCCAGTGGCGTAGTCAGATTTTCAAAATATGCTGTTATTATTTAAATATCACCAAAAGTCATGTTTTTTTAAAAGGAACACCCTGTATATTTTTCCATATTGAAATATTGATGCTTAGCGCTTTCGAGAAATACATAACCCTTTAACGATATTTTGAGTATTAGCCTCAATTTATATAATTTACAATGTTTCAGTATATTTCTTATTGGGTCTCCTAGTATAATAGGTGTGGCAATATTTTCAATATTTCAATATCATGAATTTTTATGTTTACCCTGTTGCTGACAGAGTGTTTTGTCACACACTAGTTCAAATTTTACCAACATTTTACCAATATTTAGCTTAGCACTATATATTTATTGACTATAAAAGCTGTCTACCTTATTAGTGCAATGAAAAAAAGCGAGTGCAGAATGTTTTATAATAATTATTGTTGTCACCTGACTACCTGTCGAAGTTTACAGAATATCAGAACTCAAAACTATGAAAGATTGCCTATATAATATGGTTAGAATATACGTTTGTTTCTAAATTATATAGCTTTGATATCCTGTATTATAATTCACCATTTTGGATGAAAAATTTGTAAACAGGTGACAAAAATAATTATGAAACAATCAGCACCCGCTTTTTTTTTCATAGCTACCTACTAATTAGGTCCACAGCTTTTAGTCATAAATAGTGCTGAATATTGGTAAATGAATGTTTGTAAAATTAAAACTAGTCTGTGACGAAACACTGTCGGCAACACAGAGTTGATATGATAATTCATGATATTAAAAATATTGCTTCACATATACAAGGCGGATCAATGAGAAATATAGTAAAAAATTGTAAATTATCTAAATTCAAGGCTAATACTCTTGATATCGTATAAGTGTTATATATTTTTAGAAAGCGCGAAGCATCAATAGTTGGAATCAGAAAAAATTTACAGGGTGTTCCATTCAAAAAAACATAACTTTGGGTTATATCTAAATAATAACAGCTTATTTTGAAAAGCTGACTACGCCACTGGATTTTATGTGAAAAACAATATAAGGGACAGTTTTTATTTTTCCTATAAGTTGAAAGATAACCGAGAAATAGGGAGGGTCCCAAAATGCAACATTTTCAATTTCACCCTGTATCTCAAAAATGAAACAGGCTATGAAAATTTTGTTTGCGGTATCGTGAATTTCACAAGAACGTTTCCAACGTTTGCAAAAACCGCAAATCTCTATCTTCAAAAATAAGTGAGATATCCCTTAAGGACATCGAAAATGGGACAGCCTGTACAATGGAAATACCCTGTAGAGGTACTTTCTGTTTAAAATGATTCTGAGCGCGATCGCTTTTCAGTCAAAAAATGATGTATTGACAAAAAATATAATAGGGTTCTACATATTGAAGGATTCTCAAGTAGTGTTTTCTCAAGGCTAACAGATTTTGTAGGAGAAAACTGTCAACTCTTCATTTTTTGTGTATACACACAATGGAATCCAAAGTTGAGTATTTTAATTTCAAATCAGGGACTTAAAAAATGATTCATTTTATCAATATAAATAAATCATTTATGTTAACCAATTCATGGGAAAATGAACTTTTTGAAAATCAATTTTTCCATGAATATCAATCAACAAAATGTACGTAAAATAAATAATCAAGTTCAATTCATGTTAGTCAAGATCAGCTCTAAAAGGTTTTGCACACCATATCCCCCACCTACCTGTTTGTGATAGGTATGAACATGAACATCCCATCATTCATATCACTGTACTGAGACCAATATGGAGCCTGGTTGGCACAATACCATAATATATAAAATCAATAGAATGATGTTAAGAATAATTAAAACTGATAATTTTGCACTTTTCATGAGATGGGTTCTTTTTTGAAAAATTTGTTTGGTACTTATGTATTTTTGTCTCAAAAACACGAATTTGATGATGAAAATGTGAACAAACCACTAATTATCCAGATATTTAATGAAAAAGTTATGAATTTCTCCTTGCTTTGTCCACTTGTCTTTTTTGCCCTTCTTTTTTCATCATTGGACAATTATGTTTCACCATGTTCTTCAATAATACATTTCAATATGAAAATCAATTAGAAAATAGAAATATGATTTTCTTGTGATTTTTCCATATACTAAGTGGATTTATGCACAATGCTTTTTTATTATTCTGTTGCTTTCATCAACAACTGTCATTGAATTTGTGTTAATTTAAGGACTTGGATGCTTTCATGCACTACCCTTCAACTTTAAACTCTTCCTAGGGTGACTTTATAAAAACTTTTAGCATTTAAGATTTAACATCTAAACATTTAAGACTTAAGAGTCTTAAGTGGAGACAGTTATAAAAAAAAATAAGATTCTAGGGCGATACATGTCTTCTGTCATTACTGACATCTAGTTTCTGATACAGAACCAGATTTTCGAAGTTTAGTAAGTTAGAAACTAGTTGGAAATCAAAATTTCATGTTCTGATATCATTCTATTTATATCTTTTATTTATATCCCTAAAATGATACCCACATCCATTATATCTCCACATCATTTCGAAAGTAATCACTATTCCTTGCCAAAAAGAAACTGGCTTACTCCTTGGATATTTTGCCAAATATGGAGGCAACAGAGTGATATTCTAGTGTATTTTTGAAGAACGGTTCAGTATCAATCAGAAGAAAAACAAATATTTAGGAATAACAACACAAGATATTTTGAATTATTTTTGAATGGCGGGAAATTGAGATGTCACTTTTGGATGCGCACTCCATATTCCATTTATGATCATTTATCAGCACTTCTTAAGTTGAAAGTTGGCCATCTTCTTGAATCTTAAATGTTAAATCATAAGTCTTAAATGGTTTTATAACATAACCAATGATATTTCCATGTTCCATCTGTCATAAGTGATAAGCCTTAAATGTTAGGTGATAAATCTTAAGTCTTAAAGTTTTTTATAAAGTGGCCCCTAATGATCAAATCATAGTACCTACTCAGCTCATTTGTGCTCATTTGTGCTCTAAGGTGCTCTAACCTTCACTGCTCACATTATTAAAATAAGAGTAATTTATTCATGATGTTTTCAGTCTAATTCGAACAGGCAACTAGAATGTTCTGAATTTTCAACCACATTTTCGAAGAATAAGAAGAAATTGTTTGTCTGCCTCCTGACAGAATCAGGCCTGTGCAAGTCAAACTTTTATTTGTATTCATCTTTTTGGGAAAACCTAGTTGATGAAAGATAAAAATTAATTTGGGTGCATAAATGATTGAACGGAAATACCACGTTTCAACACATTAGTAAAATCGTTGATGATTGTGGAACTACATATTAATGAAAAAGCAGAGTGCATATATCCACCATAAGCACCAACATTGAATTTTGAAAAAAAAACATTGCATGATAATTTCATGGTTTACAGGTCATTGGATTGCCTAATAAATGATAATGAATGTTTCATGAAACTGCCTCAAGTTCTAGTAGATTCATCATAATGCATATTATACCTTTGAATTTCCCAATTTTCAACTATATTGATTTATATATTCATATTACAGTTGTGAAATAAATTGTGCTCTTGCAACCCTTAAATCAACCAAATCCCAGTGAAGAAATATTTTTATTATAGTCGTTGCTCGATGCATCGATAAAGAAAATGGCGGAGCATCGTCGTCGTTATCTACCCATCACATAATTTTCATCGAATGTTTCTGAATATATTGAACATTTATTACCTGACCACCAGGCACAAAATTATTGGTAACAACAGGTCTACGCTGTCCGATACTGCCTACATTTTGCTGTTGTTGTTGTTGCGGCTGGTTAGCTGCAAAAAATTAAATTTCTCAAATGCCGACAATGCCAGTCAATGAGCACTGCTACATCCCAATCTCCGAAACCAATAAAAATGTTGCTCTTTGCTCTTAAATATTTAGATAACTCACCAAATCCGCCACTTCTTCGCGTACTGTAAGACATGCTGGACACAATCAAAAACTATTGAAAAAAAAGACCCTACAACTTACAACAAACACCACACCACCGCAAAATATAAATGGCTGGAGGATGACGTTGATGTAGATGTCGAACAGCAAACAGCAGAAATGGCAGAAAGCTGCTGGAAAGGCAGAAATGGCAGAAGGCCGGAACCGGAAACCGTATTTGGAAAATAGGTGTGTTCAAGAAAACGAAAAGCGCCTGCGCCATAATCGTTGCAATCTATCGACTTCTTGGAGGACTTCGAATATTTCAGCAAAATTTCACTAATAATTTCAGCATTCTTTTTGTTGTGTTCTGTAAATACTGTATTATGTGCGCTATACCGTGATTTTGGATGAATTTGGATAACCTTCATTGTCCTCGATTTGCAAACTAAAAGCTCGACTCTACGAAATTCAGGATCAGCAGAGATTTGCGATTTGAGTTTACCGCCACGGTAGTGTCGTTCTGATTCGTGAAGGGCGAAGGGGAAGGGGCATAGTCGATACTGAGAGTCCACAAACAGGATATGACGAAACTGATATTCTCGTCAACAGTGCTGCCACCTCGCCATTTCATGGCTAGTTCTAGTATTTTTGAACTCATCTAGCTATTTTTAGCCATTTCTTCTAGCTATTTTTTATTGTGACTTTCTATAAACATATTTTCATATATATGAAATTCTCATAGATGTAGGTAGTTCATTAAAATTATTCACGATCTAGTCAGCAAGTCACAGTCTATAATGTTTCTATGGATATATCTACAATTTCTATATATGGCGCATCGCCTATACGATATCTCAACAAAAATGGGACCAAAATGAGAGGTACTTTTTGAATCTATAAGGACGGAAAGTGAAGGATGGAAACAGTCATATACGTTGACTCGTTGACATCGAGTGACTCTAGTTGACATCAGAGCCTATTGGTCGATTTCGTTTGGTCCCGCTTTGAGGAGAGCTATGCTTCATATATGAGTAGTAGATATACTGCTTAGGTAAGATGCTGCTTAGGTAACGATCGAGCGTGTTCGGTGAACACACGGGTATGATCTCGAGACTCTTGTATTTTCTACTCCATGCTTTATAAAGGAATATTCTCAGATATAATTATGAACATAAAAAAAATGGATATATTCATGAAGAAATACATTGAGAATTCGCATTCTCCATGTGATGAACTCGTTGACGTCATCAACCAATGACGGCTAAATATCTGGACTGTCTGCTGTTGGCAACACTGTACAGTGTACTGTAATGTTGGAAATTAAAACAACTAAGAATTTTCAATTTTCCACTAATGAAATCGTTGCTCACTAGAGATCTGTTGCTGTTGCTCATTTCTGTTCATGGCACAACGTAAACCGAGATGGTAGATGTTCATAGAAAAAGTCGTTAGTTTAGTTATGTTTAGTTTATCAGGTCCAGCAAACACATACCAACCACTGAAATTTATAATATGAAGTATTGTTGGTTGCTTGCTCAGCACCACGATGCACTTTTCTCAGCACAATGTTTGCGAGAAAATGTGAAGAAAAAAAGAGTAGTTATTTGTTTTACTAGGCAGTAAAAGTTTTAAACCTTTTCTGCCTGTTAAGTGTCATAAAAAATCCACTTTTGATGTCATTTGGAGAAAAATAACTATTGTTTAACTAGTCAGTAAAGTACAAGATTTAATGCCGCGGCTGGCGTTTCATAACCTAGGCGTAGCCGAGGCTAGGAAACCAGCCAAGGCATTACATCTCCTTTTCTGCCATGTGAAACATATAATTTTTTCTCCAAATTCGTTTTAATTTCACGCAAAGTCCAAATAATCTTTCATTTTTTGTTCACTCAAAGTCATTGTCAATTTTGATTACCAATTTGATTCAAATTACTTGGAACGTTGCTTAGCAACAAACTTGCCTAGGCAGTAAAAGTACAACTTTTCTATTAGGGATTTTTTTCACTAAAAATAACGATGAATTCTGAATCAGGATCACTCAAAACACACCTGTACCGTTTTACATCATATAGTTTCGACAGAAAAAAATCCTCAAGTTGAAAAATCTCGATTTTGAACACCCTATATCTCTGTTATCTTTTTCGATAGACCCAAAGTGTGATACATCGATGAAATCAGCTCTTTAGGAAGATGGAAATGCGATGAAATACAGCGAGGGTGTTCCATTTGAAATATCAATGTTGCTACTACTTTCTCTAGTAGAAGTGGCAACACTGCATCGTCGAAAATATTTTAAATGAAAAGAGCGTATTCTGCATGAGATATAAGCATGCACATTTTCATGGATTTCTCGCGATTGATTCTCGATATAAAGATAGTGTAAGCTCGTCGTGACATACCCTGTATAGGGGCCTCATTATCGCAATGTGCCCAGGGCCCCCAGTATGTTAAAGACGACCCTGCTCATATCAGTTTGAGATTTTGCTAGATTAAACGTCATTTTCATCAGCTGTGTTGAAATCATTCAGCAAGCAATTCATATCATTCTAAATTAATTTCCATCAATCTACATCTGGTTTGTTTTAAAAGCGCGACAAGTCGTAGAAGAGGATTTCGGTTCGCAAGTTTGGAATGTATGTTGTACACTAGACTTTCTCTTACAATATTTCAGAAATAAAAAACAAAATAGCATAACGTCAAACTCAAACTTGCAAGTTTTACGCTGAACACCAAAATGGTAAGATCCAAACACCCTTGTGTCAAACTCATCTCCTAGAGACCGCCCTTACTATGGTTTTTCAAATTGCACCCTCATTTTGTTGTTTCGGTTCATCTCTATAATAGAACTTATTCTTATTCCTAATTCGTCTATATACCTACATCACGATCGATATAGCGTTATAGTCAAAATTATAAACATGTAAATGATTCATTTCAGTGAATACCAGGGGGGGGGGCAATAACTAAAAAACTAAAAAAAAAATGTTTGTACGGTGAAAATGCGCTGCAGGAAAAAAATTTTTTTTGGATCAAGGTCAAATGTCTTCAGATTGAAAATTATGTTTCTTTCAGAGTGATAGATGCGTAATTTTCATTCAGCTGTAACGAAAAATCACTTTCATCAGTTTCAACTGTTGATGTTGAAGCCACTCTGTCATGCGCTCTAAAGCTCTGATCTCACGCAACCACCGCAATAACGACACTTTCCACTTATAGAGATGAAAAGGTAATACGTGAAGAAAAGTGGTGTCTTTCTATCGGCATATGGGGGGATATATCCCCCATATCACGCCACTGCGAAACTATACGTAAACTTTAATTCATTGAGAAAACTATATCGTCCTGTGATGAATTTCAACTCTATATATTGACGCCCTGTGTAGTTTCTCAACATTCCATATTTGAAAGTAGGTATCATAGAAACTAATACCTATGTCCTCAATAATTATTATGCTTCGAAGCTCTGTCTCCCATTTCATTTTTATGGAAATAGTATAACACGTAATATGTGTTGTAAGGAGCATATTACGCACGAATGGAAAAGTTACGAACGTAGCCGCGTAGCGGCGAGTGCGTAATTGCTTTACAACACGCATTACGTACTATACTTTATACCTACTGCCATATAGTGCATCAAAAAAGTGTGCATGGACAAACAGTCTGAATTATAATTCTTGGCAGTTATGTCATTCGCTGTTGATGGCGAGTACGCAATCATGACTGGCGGAATAAACGAAAACTGTGCGATGTGCTTACTGTGCGTAAAGAACTACTTACTGAGGCTGTATCTCGTGTGTTCTTGCCTACTTTCTATATTGGCCGTAGGTAAATTCCAATTACGTATTACTTATCTGGAAAATCAATATCTGCTGATAACTTTGGCAATATATTAAACAATTAATTAAATGAAATGCTAATTTGCGTTTAGATATAGTGGTTCCAAGCAGGAAACCATTGATTAATTGTATGAAAATATGAAAAAAATCATCTTCCTCGTACTTTCATTTGTTCTTTTGGATGAAAATGTAAGCTACGAATTTGAAAAAAAGGTTGTATACGAACTTAATCGGACGCTAGCTTTCATTGATGATAAATTCGAAGAATTCGGATTTGATGGTACATTTGGGGTAACACTAGCGCAAGGTAAGGTAAAGTTCATTTTATAGAACATAATAGGTATGCATGTCCTTTAGTGTAACAAAAACGTGTGAGTCGTTATGTAGGCTTTGTTACTAACCCCATAATCTACCTTAATTGCAGCACTACTACTAATTTGAACGTATAATCGAAGAATCCAAACCGAACAGAGCCAATTAACGCTAATAATAATAATAATAAAACTTGTAAAGATTGGCATATTATAAATTAAAAACTCGTTAAAAATTTCTGCTCTTTGATGCTCACGCATCGTTTATGATTTCTGCATATTGTATCTGTTAGGCTTCATACAAAAATAATAAATAATATTACTTGTTGATAAATATTATAAGCACCTGATTTATTCTATGTTTTAGTACAATTGAACAAAATATTGTTCCACAGTCATCCATCAGTTACCAGTACTTTAGATGATTCAATAATCAAGATTCTAGCTAAGAAATGTAAACTGATTATTGAGAAGACTATGCCACTAATGCCAAACAAGCCCCCATATATGATTACATGTAAGTACCTATGTATACTTGATCCAAAATATAACGATTTGCCAAATATGACCTCGGTATATTCATTGGTCGCCCTGTAACTTTTTCAATTATTGACCGAATCTCGAATCTGGTGAAATTTCGACAGCCTAAATTTTAATTCTTGAAAAAGCTGCTAAACGAACTTCTATATCATATATCTTGTACCTACATACCATAATGATGAATTTAAACTCAATGTATATATAATCACTGTGTAACACAGGCTGAAGGACCTCGGTGGGAGGCCTTTTGTGTATCCAATTAAAAAAAATACATATATACTTCCTTAAAATACTTGTATCTTCTCTTGAAACGAAGATATTGATGTGAATCAAAAACTATTATGAAGGGATCCTCGAAGGGATCACACTTCAATCAAAAACTTGATGACGCTGAGTTTAATAACTCACATTTTTTGCCACAAGGAGTTAGGGAGTTTAGCATGACATATAGTAGCTTTTGTTTTTCCCTGTATAATGATCAAGCCACCAGCTTTTTTGGAAACTAATAAATGAAATTGAAATTTCGAAATATAAATCTACGATTTGGTCGGCGATCGATTTGACTAATTTTTTTGGTGACTGTTATTTTTGCCAGTGAGTGTATGTTTACTGAGAAAAGTCCCCTTAATTTCCGACTGTCACCTCTCAAAATTGATGTAGGAAGAGAATACGGTACCACCCTGTATAGTTACTTCAATTTCGAATGAATTTTTGAGTTACTTAGGTATACGGGCAATATTTTCAGTTCGAAAAAAACTTTTGGATGCCACTAAATGGACTCGAGCATTGAATAATGATTTCTTGCATGGTGGTATCACCGAGCTAGGAATCTACAAGAATTGGACAGCAAACGTGATCTTGAGACAAAAACATGCAATTTATAAAGGAGTGAGATCTGACGAATGCTTGATAGAAATATTGGAGAATTCTCCATCTACTGGACCTTGTTTTGTAAGCGAAATCTGTTCTGATATGATGCTAGATTGGCATAGAGTTGACACTGGATATCTCTTAACTCATCGGTATGTTCGCAAATTGCCTCTAATGAAAAATTCAAAATAGTAATCAGTTTTTATTCCAGGCTTCTCTATTTACAAATAAAAAAATTGCAAGGGTGTACTTTTCCAGGAGATCCCTCATCAACTGAGAAATACATCAAGAAATTTTGCTCTTACATATTCAAGGAGGCACGTACCAATCAAATGCTAGGATTTCCTTACCACGACATTTTTTTAGAGCAAGGTGAGTAGAAACAATAACAATTTCAAAGTCCTCTCATGTACTGAGCTGTACAAAAATTTGCGACTACACGATTTTTCCCCTATGGGTTACGTGCAAGAACTGTCAGATGACCGACCCTGGATGAACAAGTGTTGTTCACAAGTGATTGAAATAGTTTTTCACAATTATTTTGGCTTACGAATCGAATTTTTCGGCTATTCATTAATTGGCTCATGCCAGTCATGCCATCACATTGTGCTGTTGTACAATGCACAAAAACTGCAGCAGATGACGAAGAAATCCTGTTGGTACATTATGATTTAAAAGTAAGTATCAATATCAATACCATAGTCACACACATATAGTTTTCATTTGGTGATTTCTCTGATTTCTCATCGGAATTCGTTCTGCACTAGGAGCTCATAGAAATACTCGTGAAATTTCTGAAATAATGCAAGAAGTATGAATTCATGCCATCAAACAGGAGGACTGGTCTGACATGCTGACGAAATATGATCGTGTGTGTTGTAGACATTTTCAATCTATAAGCAGTATTAGCTTGTATTGCAGAAGTGGCAGAAGGAATCTAAATAAGGAATGACAACATTTCATAATGATAACAATGTGAGATTACTATTCACCTGAAAAATCATAAACCTTCGTCTGTCGCTGCATTTTTTGCCACGTCAAAACTGGGGGAAAACAAACTCAATCCCATTAGTGCCATTAGCTTGTGCATGTATACTGTGTACTGATAAGAGTGATAACACTTTATGTCATTGACAAGTTTGACAACTACAGCTACAGCAAAATGTATGCAATGTAGTCTATACACTTCATCCATAGACAATAGTTTGTTTTCCCCCAGTTTGAAGTTCGTATTATGTAACCTAGATGTCGTCCACTATCTCGCGAATTTCAATCCTTTGATTCCTCTGTAAACAAATAAAAAAGTGAGGTTGTGTTTCAATAATTCACAGAAGAGTGAGGTTGTGTTCCAATATTTTACCTCCAGGGTCAGTCATCGTGCACGCGACCTATTCAACCTTTTTTTGCGTTCGTTGATTGAACTATCAGATTATGTTGTGTTCACAGACAACAAAACAACGATGTTTGTCTTCAAATTCCTATTCTGATTGAAAAATGTGAAAATTAATCACAAAACTATCACTATTTCCAGTTGTCTTATGCGGCATGGAAGGATACGAGGAATTCCTGAATGATACTTGGTTATCAGAACTACTTCATTGGCAAAACCCACACGGATGTTTCGCTAGCATAGCGAAAGACAGAATAAGGAACAAGACAAAAAGAACCAGTACGACTATCGATCATGGTTGCTCTGATCACTCCACAGGATTGGGTGCTGCCGTTCTTGCTCTGTTCCTCAGATATCTGATGCTCGCTAGATCAGCATTGGAACACCAGAGATGATTTGAGTTCCTCATGCCTATTCTTTCAGCATGCATTATTCACGATGGACCAGAATCGTCTCACGATATTCCTATAGCGACAGTGATGGAATACATGAACTAAATATTGAATTCAACCAACAAATGACAGTTATTATGACTGTCATTATTAATATCATTTTAGACAAGTAAACTATCAAATAACACACTAGTGTGTTATCATCCATAACTCACTAGTGAGTTATGGATTATAACTCACGTCCATATTCAAAGTAGTTTTCTATTTATTTATTTATTACTATAACAAGCAGGATTCACATTGATATTGAAATTGAAAGAAAACGATAAAGGTTTATTCGAATTTGAAGTAATTGTAAAATTCGTTGGTTCATTCGAACCAGATGCTCCCATATCGGTACAGCTCCTGATAGTGCTGGAAGACGCCGACACATTATTTTCACTTATAATATCACGAGAGCTTCAATTATTTCCGTAAATTAATATATATTAATTGAAGCTGAAGTAGTATTTGGTAAGAAAATTTCACACTGAAATATTATTAAAAATTTATTCACCGAATTTGTTTGGGAATATCAAATATCAATTGCTTCTGGTGTGTGAAAAACATGGAGCTCTTCGTGGATTACAGCAGGATAAGATTGTTTCAAAGTACTACATATATTTCATGAAACATATTCTTTTATGGAAAAACAGCTCATAGTTTTAGAAAGGAACACCCCGAATATTATTATTCTATTTTTTAAATCTCCTCATAATTCTCAACAGCTCTATCTATTCAATGTTTTTCGTAATAATAAACCTTCGAAGAGTGGTATTTTCGTCATTTCAAACGAACCAAAAACTCGAATGTTTCTTCAATCAAGTTTGCTACCGCGACGACGATTTTTTTCTAAAGTAATTAAACTTGTCAAGCATCAACATTCGAGTTTGTTGTGTAAGAAATAACCGAATAAATGTCACTTTTCAATCGTTAATATTTAAAAAAATATTGAATTTGGGAGTAGAGTGCATGTATCCAATGAAAGTATTGAGAATTATGAGGAGATTTCGAATACAAGGGGTATTCCATTTGAAAAAAATATTTAAGATAGCTCCCAGCCGCCATTTCAGAACTTTGAGCTGTCGTTTTTTCCTAAAAAATAGATTTTTTCTCCAATTTGAGCTTCCATGGTATCTGTTCTCTTATTATCTATTATTGATCCCAGATGTATTTCTGTTGAGGCTTTTCACTTGTTCAATTTGGGTTCCATCAATTGTATATAGTTCATTTATAATATATGTTCTTTGTTTGTTTTGAATATTATTATATGCTCTTTATCCTATTTTTATTAATATTCATGTTTATATTTTCATTAGCATGAGACAAAATATGCACGAAGAAAATTTTGAAAAATCATTTTCCCAATGAATTACCGCCATTTGAAATTGGCTCATGATGGGATTTCACTCAACCCCCACATTTGAATGCATAAATAAAAACTTGAAGGTATTTATTTTCCCTAGCCCCAACACAGCTATTGACAAGATACAGATTCCTATAAAGAAGTTGGAAATTTGAATTTTAAAATGAAACTGATCAAGTTTTCTCTCGTTTATTCTTTTCACCCATTTATAGATAAAGAGAATTTAAACTTTAAATAACAGATTAGATTATTACTTTTTTATACATTCATTTCACAATAGATTACTGTCCATTGTATATAGTATAATGAGACGCAAGATACATATACTTATTGATGAAAGATAGTAATATTTCCTAGAAGGTTGATTCAATATGAAATCTATAAATTTTCAGTATTCTAGTAATATTTTTATGCGTAATAAATTGGATAGGTACAGTCGTCTTCAGAAAACATGTCGCACATGGACGATGCTAGCATTCTTAATAACTCCTGCAATAAGAGCGCTGACACTGTTCAACCGCGACATGATCTCTGAAGACGACTGTACCTATACCTTCTGCTTGAAGATTATTATGATGATAAGCTGATAACTATATAACAATTCATCATTATATTGTTATATTGCTATTGTTATAGCATCCTTTATAATCCATATCTAGATTCTTGAGTTAGTAGGTATGATATCATATATTGAACAGTGTTGTACGTCATTCTATCATTTTGTTGTTTTGTCTATCATGACATCATTATTTAACGAATTTTATACTATTAATAGTCCTACTATCATCATTAATTCTATTTGTATACGATTAAATATGATTTGCATATGTATTTACATAGCTAGTAAATTTGCGTATAGAGGGTGGGTCAGAATAAGACCGACACACTTCGTGTAGAAATTCCTTATCTCGTTTTGAGGTGAAAAGTACCTATTATCGTATGTTCTCATATGCATCATCTCTATAATAAGGTTCAGGGTGTCAAAAGTTTATTTTATTATTATTATGGATTATATTAATTTATCCAGAACCCCTGTAAAATAGAAATGGTATTCTTTTCCAGAATATTCAAGGTCCTATAATAACTTGAAGTTTTCTTTTTGAATTTCGTTAGCCAGTGGCGTAGTTACGCTCGTACGTCGTCAAATTTTTCTTTTGTATTTTTTCTTAGACAGATATATGAAATGTCAGATATTGGTGTGTGAAATCGATATGGCTTACTGCTACTCAATTTAAAAGTAATAAGCATTCTTTAGTTTTTCGCAAATATCTATCCGACCGACCCTGCAGGTTGTGTTGTCTCCCGACGAGTAGCGGAGGGAGACAAAAAACCGTGAGCTAAAATCTAATATTTTTCCAGTGTATAATACACTATTTTTTTCTGTGACAGAGAGAAGGACGAATCAATATTGAGAAGGTTTTACATAATTTTGAAATCTGAAAATTATCGACATGAAATTTCATGTTTTTAACAGTAGGGACACCTGCGTTGTAGGCATCTTTATCATTCTTTTGAAGTAATCAAATATCTGATGTCACTTCTGTCAGTCTAATTCTGTGATTTGATTTCAAAAAATTGCGAATTTATTAGTCGTTGTTTAGTAATAAACGTAACCGCGAAGTCGAATGGAAGATAAAAGGACTTGCAGTTCTTTCTCGGAGACGATATTATTGACTCATTTTTCGGAACTATAGCACAACAAAAGCTATCAACAGTGTATATCCACGGGAAAAAAGTAATTTATGAAAAGTGACATTTTATAACCTGCCAACAGAGATGAAATGCCAAACTTTTTTCCCGTCACAGAAAATAGTTATTTTTGTATCTAGAGCGCGAAATGCTACTTTGGTGATCGAGATCTGATTTTTTTAACGAGGCGTAGCCGAGTTAAAAAATAGTCGAGATGACCAAAGTATTTCGCGCTCGAGTTTCAAACAACATTTTTTCTACACACAAAAAAATTTACTCTTGGATTTAATGCCATCATGATTTAAGGATACTGACTTCAATCTAACCATAGTTGACTTCAAATCAAAATCAATTTCTTGAAGCAAGCATACGACTGCGTTTGAACGAAAATAATTCTTCTTTTATCGTATGGTCTCTGTTGAAAATCATTGTTTTTGATGCGAAGTCAAGTGTTCTCACCTTGAGTACATCATATTTTTGAATTCAAGATTAGTCAATATTTTCATCCAAAATTAGTATTGCTATTTGGTTTTGAAAGAAGATTGAATGCTTTTGGATGAAAATCATTTTAACGGTTTTCGATTTTCCCTCAAATATCCCAAGAGCATGAAGCTCTTGAGTCCGTGAATTCCTTGAAAGAAATGGAAGGGGAATCGGCAGACGCGTGCCACAGCTCATTTACATTTAGTCAGTGCAAGGTCACATATAAGTGTTTCACTGTTTTCGTCTTTCCACTTCCAGTTGTGAAAATATATGGAAAATATTCCTCGCATCGTGTAATTCTAATCATTATGTGTACAACAATAGAAGACCTCCTCTTATCCTGGAATATACCGCAGGAAGTTATTACAAAATTTATACCACCACGAAGCAGAATCAACTATGGAAATTTTCTATCACTGAGGCGCAAGAAGGAATAGTAGTTCAAGTTAAGGTGAGATACAGAGTAGATATGTATTATGTTGAGTATCATTAACCACCCTTTCATCTTAGGATGTGTCTATGATAGAAAACACTCTGGAACGCATTGAAAAAGCGGCCTCATCTAGGCACCAGAAGGTCCAGCCTTATATGTTGGCATGTGGCACTGACGTCTCCGATCTTCAAGCTGTATACTTATATATACTTATTTAATCATATGTTGAATACAAGTACAAAATAATACGAGAGAAAAACAAACTCATTTCAAAAGCATCAAGTTATCCCTGAGAAAAGAGAGTGTACCTATTCAAAGCGAGAATACTATGATCGAAAACCAAACTCATGTTGATTTAAGATGAAGAGAATACACAACTGGGAGCAAGAATAACACGTTTTATATAGAAAATATTGGTATTTTTGACCCAAAATCAAAATATCCTCAATGAGAGACCAATGATGACTCCAAATTGAAGGTACTCAGTTTCTTCATCCAATATATCCCATACTCTTGGAATATGTTTTTCATTGAGAAGTACTGTATTCTTCATTTGTGAGAATAACTTGGTCTTGAAACGAAGTCTTGATGCCTCTGAGGCTATATGCACCTCATGATGTCGTTGAAATGAGAGCATTACTCTCAATTCAAGAGTAGATTTTTTTGTGTGTACAAACGTCAAAAAATATAGTTCCAAAGTAAAAATATATGCTCAGCTTGATATAAAAAATAGTGTTGAACTGGCCTAAAAGGCGTCCCCCTATCCTCCCTAGGTACGCACGATGTTCCACGAACATAATAGGAATTTTCTTTCGTACGCTCCAAGAGATAAAACAAAGTTATTGTTGAACATTCAGAAATAAAGAATTTCGTGGATGTTTCCTCGATTGAGGACCATAAAGTTGAAATATAAATATCGCATATATTTTACATAACAATGCGCGAAGTAGGTACTTCGCGCACTGTTTTACTTCGCGCATTGTTCTGTGCAAGGTATCATGGTAACGTAGGAAACTGAAACAAAGTGTCACTTCGCAATTTGTTATCAATGCGCGAACCTTGTCATTTTTTGACGTTTGTAGAAAAAATATATTATTCATGCATCCGTAACTTATGGTAGGTATCCACCATCCGAAAGAGCTAAATCACGG